CAATGGCTGATGGCTTGAGAAGGAGAGCAGGTAGGGTCCCCAAGACTAAGAACTCTGGGAAGTTGTTGAGAAGTTCCTGCAATCCATGCCATGAGTTCAGCCTGCTATAAGCAGCTGTCGTCCCCCTCCCCAGCAAAGTGGGATATGCCCCATCTTTAAACAATTAAACCAAACAAAATCAACAGAGACACTCATATACGATATTTACAGGTGCGCACAACCCACAGACAAGAGCTTCACACCGTACATTCCCAAATACTAATCTCCTCTTGTTCCCAGTTAAGAGGTTATTTAAGAGTGAGACCAAGCAGTATGGCAGTAAAACACCCTTTTCCTTTTTTTTTTCCCCCCATTGGCGGATAAGCGTTAGTAACCCAATATCCCAAGATCCGTCCCAAAGGAGTATTTTTTGGAGATCGAGCCACCAGCACCCATCCTTGAACAATTTAAGCAAAATTATTACAAGCAAAGTTACACCAGGCGAAAACCACCCTAATATACAATATTTACAAATTCACACAACAGACAGACAACCGTTTGTGGCTTACTGTGCATTGCCAGACCTTACCCTGCACAGCCAGACAGAATAACCAGGCAAGGACCTTGAGAGGCTGCTTGCAACCAGGAGCTGATCAGGCTCACTCCAGACGGAGGGCAACAGACAACTAACTCCCCCTGTTACAGAACACCAGACTGCTCGATTCAACTTAGGTTTTAGATGAGACGACAGGGTGGCTAGGACTCAAAACAAGAAAATTTCTGGCAGCACTGCAAATAAGAGTCCAGGCATCAGCCCCAGGAACCCCAGTTCAAGCAGCAAGCAGGATCCCCGGTACCCACCCAAGAAGATGCCCCGCTTGAGTCCCACCAGAGTCGCCAAATTATGTAACTGGACAACCAAGGCATCTTGGGCTTCCTGTCACTACTTGAGCCAATTAAGCAGAGACAGGGTTGAATCATATGAGCGTTTTTTTCCAGCAGTATGGGAGAGCAACAGGTCATCCATGAAAATCTGCTCTGCCTCTCCCCATAAGCCAACTGCTTATACTGATAGAAGGACAAAGATTACATGGGAAAGTAGGAATTACAAGCATGGGAAAGTAGGCACAGGACAATCATTATGGGTTACAAGCCATGCAGACTGGGGGGATGGTCACAGAGGGTGGGTGCCTCCAGGCGCCCCGGGACCAGATTACAGGCAATGGGGGCTGAGGGTTGTAAAGAACAGTGTCTCCAAGACTAGATTGTTTCAGCCATGAGGTTGTAAATCTTTCCATAATGATAGGCAGTTCTCGAGACAAAAGGGTGGACTGCATTCTGATGTTAGCTCTCCTGTCCCAGAGCGTATAACGCCCAGCCAAGTCAAAATGTGCTTTCTCTAATCAGAATGTAACTGGACAATCAATGGGTCCGGGCTTCCTGTTGTGAGAAATGCTCACCTGTCCAAATTCAAATAATAGACACAGAGACAGAAATATGGCGAAAACAAGACTTTTAATATGCTCTCGAGAGCAGATGTCCACCCAGTTGTACAGGCACACCTGGGGCAGCAAACACAGCACATTTACTCAGTCCCTCCTCTGATTCCTCATTGGCTGAGCACCATGGGTCACCTGTTTCCTCATAAAGGGTGTCCCAAAATTCACGCAAGAAGTAATTTTGATAGAAAACACAGGTTTATAATTAAAAATTGTAAATTTTTTATTGATTCATAAAGTATACAGTATAGGGTTATGTATGGAATAGCATATCGGGTAAATGGCCTCCACAGCTTTGCTGACACATACGCACTCCTGTTGAAATTTTCCATGACCGTTTTGCATAAATGTGGCTTAATTTCTTGGATACAGCGCTCAATTTGCTCCTTTAAGGCGTGGGTGGTTGTGGGCTTGTTGGCATAAACCTTAGACTTCAAAAAACCCCAAAGAAAAAAGTCCAACGGCGTTAAATCGCATGATCTGGGTGGCCAATTCTGATCACCAAAACGGGAAATTACACGACCAGGAAATGACTCATGCAGTAATTGAATTGTTTCTCGGGCTGTATGGCATGTGGCACCATGGAGGCCATTTACCCGATATGCTATTCCATACATAACCCTATACTGTATACTTTATGAATCAATAAAAAAATACAATTTTTAATTACAAACCTGTGTTTTCTATCAAAATTACTTCTTGCGTGAATTTTGGGACACCCTTTATTTTGTGGAAGAGCCACACTCAAAGGGCCAAAGAGCCGCATGTGGCTCGTGAGCCGCGGTTTGCCAACCACTGGGTTAGGGTATCTTACAACTGATTTATTATGATGAAGATTTTGAGATGGGAGAAGCTCAGAGATGTTTAAGTGCTCATGGGAAGAAACCAGACAAGGAGAGGAGAGGGTTGGAAATCCAGCAGAGAGATGCCAGGGTGGAGGATACCTGGCTCTCCAAGGAACATGGGAGCCAGAGAGCAGCAGCAGAATTGGAATCTGGGCAGACAAAATGGGTAGTATTTATAAGAGAAAAACAAACCTCAAGTGCCATAAGAGAGCTAGAACCAGCTGTGAGTTCAAGGCTAATTGTAAGAGTAGGAGGATGGGCCCGCAAGAGAACAGCTAGGGTATCTGCCACAAACTGGCAGATAAGCTAAGCCAGAGCCTTTGGTTAAAGGGTCAAGAGACCCCTGACTATGTCTTTTAAACGTCTAGTGTAACCTTGCTCAAGTGACTCAACTTCTCTCTGTGCCTATTTGCTCATCCACAAAAAATAGTAATAATAGTACCCACCACCCAGCCGGCGTGGCTCAGTGGTTGAGCATCGACCTATGAATCAGGAGGTCATGGTTTGATTCCTGGTCAGGACATATGCCCCGGTTGTGGGCTCAATCCCCAGGGTGGGGCTAGCCGATTAATGATTCTCTCTCATCACTGATGTTTCTTTCTCCTTCTCTCTTCCTCCCTGAAATCAATAAAAAAATATTTTTAAAAATAGTACCCACCACATAGGGTAGATGTAAGGATACATGCTTGGCATATAATAAGTGCTCAGTAAGTCTAAGCTCTTGCTGCCACTTTTATATTATTACTAGAGGCCCGATGCATGAAATCCGTGCAAGAGTAGGCTGCTGGCACCGGCTTCCCTCTGGCACCAGGGACCCAGACTTCCCTCGCAGCCCCAGCTTTGTCCGGAAGGAAGTCTGATCTAATTAGCATATTATGCTTTTATTATTATAGAAGATTATTGAAGAGGCAGTATATATAGCAGAGTGATTAAGAACACAGGTCATTGCCCTGACTGGTTTGGCTCAGTGGATAAAGCATCGGCCTGCGGACTGAAGGGACCCAGGTTCTATTCCAGTCAAGGGCATGTACCTTGGTTGCAGGCACATCCCCAGTGGGGGATGTGCAGGAGGCAGCTGATGGATGTTTCTCTCTCATCGATGTTTCTAACTCTCTATCCCTCTCCCTTGCTCTCTGTAAAAAATCAATAAAATATATAAAATAAAATAAAACACAGGTCATGAAATCAGAACCCCTGTGGTCAAATCCTGGTCTGCCACTTACCAGCCATGTGTACCCGGGCAAAGCTATGTTATTTCTCTGGGCTTCAGTTTCTTTCAGTTTAAGTGCTCGTGGAGAGAAATCAGACAAGGAGAGGGTGGGAAATCCAGCAGAGGCATATAGTATAGTACACATATAGTACTGCAGATCTATCTTGTCAGAGTGTTGGTGAGGACTTAATATCATTTAAAAGAAAGCTTAAACTATTTTAAATATTCACTATTTTTAAAGAAATGCATTACATAAATAAAAAATTAGGTGAGACTCTGTTAAAATATCAATTGCATCATATTATATTAATATCCAGAGTTTTTTCTTTCTTTTTTTCCTTTTAAGCTCCCTTTTAGGAAAGTGTTTACTACGGAAATTTTCAAGCATCACAAAAGAGAGAATAGTGTTATGAAACCCCGTTATAGTTACAAAAATTTTACCATTCTTGCTTCCATCTTTCCTCTCATTCTTTTTGTTTTAGTCGTGCTGGGGGATTTAAAAGCAAATCCCAGGTCTTATTCCGATTGCAAAGACTTGAGATGTATTTCTGATAGAGACACCAGCAGGATTCACAGTGGTTTCTGAGCGCCCCTTGACTCCCCAACTCCCAGCCTATTCCCCGCCCCTAACTCGCCTCCTCTCTCTGCAGGTGAACTGCCCCGGGGTGGGGGGTTGTGGTTGCACGCTGGGCGGAGGCCTCCTGAGTTACCATGGAGGGGCCCCCACGCTCTGGGTGGTGTTGGAGCCCCTGGGGGCTGGGGGCCTGCGGGCCTCCCTCGCGCTACCAGGGCGCCTCCTGGCAGCCTGCGTGACTACAACGAAATTGCAGCGGACGATCTGATACTCCCTGGACTTTGGGGTGCCAGCCTAGTCGACGTGCTCCAGCCGTGTCGGGGCTTCAGCAGCTGGTGAGGACCCTCCTCGTGCCCCGCGACCCGTCGACCCCGTCCTTCCGGGCGGGGGATGCCGTCATCCCAACTTCTGCGCCACAGGCTCCCTTTGGCGGCCTGGAGCCAACACCTTCTCTTTGCTTGTGGTCCCATATCACCGAGAAGCTTGCCTTGCCCTCCGTGACCCAACACTTAACTGCGTGACCACGTTTCTCTGCACGTCCCCAGGGGTGGGGCCAGCGACGCACGGAGCTTCCCGAGATTGTTATAATGACGATGACCAAAAAATGGTAGTGCCTGTCTTCTCGCTCCCAGTGCCCCCGCGCCCGGAAGAGGGGACGGACAAGTGCCCTAACCTCTAGCTCCCTCCTCCGCCAGGACTCAGGAGTTTAGGTCAGAACCCCCAGCCGCCAATCGCCTTCTCTTCCGGGTTCTCAGAACTGCGGTCTCCTCAAGGACACCTATTCCCTAAGGGGCAGGCCGGCAAACCAGGAGCTCCGCCCCTTCACGCGACGTTGTGACGCAGCCGCAGCGGCAGCCAATGGGGCGCGACAACACCAGACAGCGGGAGGCTGGAGGCGGAGGTTTTAGGGAGCGGAGCGGAAGTACCCAGGGCCTCGCGCCCGCGTTCCTGCCAACTGGATTGCTGCTCCGCTGTTCTGGGCCGTCGCCTGCGCGCGCCCGCGGCCCAGCTCTGCCATGAGCCGGCCCAGCCGCCTGCAGAGGCAAGTTCTTAGCCTGTACCGCGAACTGCTGCGCGCCGGGCGCGGGAAGCCGGGGGCCGAGGCGCGGGTGCGAGCCGAGTTTCGGCAGCACGCCTGCCTGCCGCGCTCCGACGTACTGCGCATCGAATACCTGTACCGCCGCGGGAGGCGCCAGCTCCAGTTGCTACGCTCGGGCCACGCCAAGACCTTGGACGCCTTCGAGCGCCGTCAGGGCGCCAACGAGGAGCCCGGCGAAGCGGGGGCCCCTACGACTCCGCCTGAGGAGAGTGACGATTCGAGGAACCCTCTCGAATGGAGTCACCGGAGACCCCGCCGGGTGGACGGTGACAGGCTGAAGAGCTCAGATGGAGCAGGGGAACGGTGTGGTGGGGCCAGGGAACCCGCATGATGGGAGGTGAGAGGTCTTGAGAGACTAGCTGGATGGATGGGGGGATCGGAGAGCCGTCCTGGCGATGTCGGGTCTAAAGACCACCATGATGGATGGCAAGATATGCTTGCCCTTGTACGATTCCTAGTAACTTGTACTCCTTCATGAGAGCTTGGGGCGGGCTGGGTCGCCCGCTGGCTGGACTGTGTCAAGCTGAGAGCTACTTACTAGAAGGCATGGGAGCCAGGACCCCACCCCCCCCCACCCCCGTTGGACCGAAAGAAACTGAAACACCCTTCTCTTCACCTCTGGCTCCTGAACCCCCCTCTTTGTATTTAATTCTGATAACAGCAGGGGTTTTTTTGCTGAGGAATTTGAGAAGGTGCCCTGATGGACAACGGAGAGAAGCGTCGAATCCCTTTGGAAAACTTTCCCCCCACTAATGGCAGCGAACTAGGACTGGTGAGGAAGGGAGTAGGGTCTCATCCCAGCTGATCATTTGAAGACCCCTCAAGACCTCTACACTTACTGTTTCTGAGGGCGAGCCCTGACTCCTGCACCCTTCAGGACTGTCAAACAAATGGAATAAAGTTGGGGATGTGCTTACTTCCTGTCGGTGGTCTTGAAGATTTTATGTGTTTGGGGATTTTTGAAGAGGCACACCAAGAAGTGACCCTCTGGGAGGAATGGGTGTTGGGAGCTGTCTTCCCCTCTGGAGCCCTGTAGACTGGCAGATTGGTTGAAACAGCATTGATCTCTCTCCTGGGCAGATCCATGAGAGACCCCAAAGAAACCCCAGTTGACTCTTTAATGGAGAATAGGGAGGCAAGAGAAGCGATGGTAGAGCTGAGGTCTGGCTGGTAACCACTGAGGCAATAGTGAGGGGTCTGATTGAGGAGTCCAGCCTCAGGACAAGCTTGGGTGTTTGTCAGCAAGACCCAGGGGTTGGGGAGGAGAGATGGAACCATAGGCCACAGGCAGAACCTCTCCCATGTCCCAGTATGGGCTTGCTTTAGACATTCTTTGGGGTACTGCATTTTGCAATTCTGAGATGTGTTTGCACCCAGGTCAGTTAAATAAGTGGGAAGCAGATGAATTCTTAGTAGATGCAGTTGAAAGGAGCGGGAGGACCTTAGGAAAGGAACCCAGACCTCAAACCAATAGGAAGATGGACAGAAGAGAAAGTCTCTTCCCTAATCCCAGTGGGTACCCAATAGTTATAAAGTGGGGTTGAAATTTGAAGAATTATAAGGACTCTACCAGAAGGTAAGGATAGGCTAGAGGAGATAAAGGGGAGAAATGCAGGGTCCCAGGTGAGACCTGGGGTGCCCCAGGGCACAGGCTGTTTGACTTCTAGTTCTGCTTTGTCTCTGGTTAATATTCACCTAACCTCTCTCAGGCCCTTTGTCACCTTATCTATCTTAGCCTCAGTGTTTTTCATCAGGGTGGTCCTGTTAGTCCTGCCCTGGCTCCATCTCAGTAAAAGCAAAAGTCAAAGCGGCTGATAGAGTCCTACCCATCCAGCCTCCATTATGTCTCCTCTGCATCTGCCATCTTTCCCTCTTGCTCACTCCTAACAAGCTTCAGGATGGGAGCTTCTGGCAGCACTGCAGGAGATGAGCGAGTTTCCACTGGGGCTGGGCTCCCGGATCATGAGAGGAGACATTCACTGGGGTATTACAGCTGAACAGAGTTTGCTTGGTAGAGAGGATAAGGAAGGGGAATGCCTGGTTTGAGGTTGTAGGTGAGTGGTGATTAAGAGTTTGCACTCCCACTTGGCCAGCATGGCTCTGGTTGAGCATTAGCTTATGAACCGGGAGGTCACGACACATGCCTGGGTTGTGGATTCAATCCCTAGTGTGGGGCTTGCAGGAGGCAGCCAATCAATGATTCTCTCTCATCATTGATGTTTCTTTCCCTTTCTCCCTCTCTCTCTCTGAAATCAATAAAATAAAATAAATAAATAAAAAATTTTTTTGCCCTAACCGGTTTGGCTCAGTGGATAGAGCGTCGGCCTGTGGACTCAAGGGTCCCAGGTTCGATTCCGGTCAAGGACATGTACCTTGCTTGCAGGCACATCCCCCGTGGGGAGGGTGCAGGAGGCAGCTGATCAATGTTTCTCTCTCATCGATGTTTCTAACTCTCTATCCCTCTCCCTTCCTTTCTGTAAAGAATCAATAAAATATATTTTTAAAAAAAAATTATTAAAAAAAATTTTTTTTAAAGAACTTGCACTCCGGAACTGGAACGCCTAGATTTGAACCCCAGTTCCAACATGGATTACATGATTGTGGGCAAGTGATTTAACCTCTGTGCCTCAACATCCTTATCTGTGAAATGGACATCATAATAGTGCCTCTCTCATGTGACTTTTGTGATGATATAGTGAATTAAGTATATCTTGTGTCAGATGATGTTATCCAACCCCAGGACCCTCTTGCCTACTTCAGTTCACTTACAGCTGAAAAAGGAGGCTTTCAGTTTCCGGCCCTGAGCCCTGGCATCTCTGCTCCTCTGCTGAGAGCTTTCTGAGAGTTATGGAAGGTGAGCTAATGCTCTCAGCCTATGGTGGATATCAGTCACTGGATGAGTGCCCCAGCCTTCCTGTTGTCTGGTCCAGAGAGCGCAACAAGCGTTCTATAGCATCCTCAGAAGAACCATCCCCTCCCCCACCCGTTTCCCACAGTGGCTACCACTCCATAAGCACCTTTTCTGGCTTACCCCCTTACCTGTCTCACTCTCCCCACTCCCTGCCTCCTGCCTCCTGGAATCAAGTCCTAAATAAAGCACCTCACCCAAGTCCTTGGCTCCTTGTGCTGTGTGTAAAGCCCATAGTTGATACTCTGTGTCTGCTATGGTTTTTGTTGTTTTGTTAATCCTCACCTGAGGATAATTTTTCCGTTGATATTTAGAGAGAGTGGAAGGGACGGGGAGAGACAGAGAAACATCAATGTGAGAGAGAAACATTGATTGGTTGCCTCCTGCATCGGCCCCAACCGTGGACGAGGATAGAGCCTGCAAATGAGGTACGTGACCTGCAGTCTGCAAGCCAATGCTCTAACCACTGAGCAACTGGTTAGGGCTGCTGCTGTGTTTTTTACTCTGCTAAGGCACAGAGTCAGTTGCTTCTCAACCCCTTGACCCTATCTGTTAAATAAGAATCTCCTGATCTAAGACTTTACAGCAATATTAAAAAATTAATATTAAAATTAATTTCACCTGTTTCTACTGTTTAATTGTGACTACTAGAAAATTTGGAATAATTTGGAATATGGATTATGGGTTAATAATAGAACTGAATCACCCTGGCCGGTTTTGCTCAGTGGATAGAGTGTCGGCTCATGGACTTAAGGGTCCCGAGTTCCATTCCAGTCAAAGGCATGTACCTCAGTTGCAGGCTCAGTCCCCGAGCAACCAATGATGTGTCTCTCACATCAGTGGGTTTTTTTTTCTCTCTCTCCCATTTCCACTCTCTAAAAAAAAAAAAATCAGTGGAAAATATCCTCGGGTGAGGATTAAAAAACACAAAACTGAATTGAGTTGTTAAATTTTCCAATTTTGATGACTGTACTCTAGTTTTGTATGAGAATGCCTTTATTCTTCAGAACTGCACACTGAAGTATTCAGGAGCAAACAGTATCATGTCTACAACTTACTCTCAAATGGTTCCAAAATAGAGGGTGTCCTCAAAAAAATGTATACACTTTACAGCTGATAGCTCAATTTTGAAAATGAAATGTATTTTAATAAACACTGCCTTTATTCCAAGTGTACATACATTTTTGGGGACACACTATATATGCACATATGTAAACATGTTAGTGAGAGTGTGAATAGTGAAGTACACGGGGCAAAATGTTAACAATTGGTGAATCTGGTTAAAGGATATATGGGAGTTTGTTGTACTAGTTTAAATAGCCCTGGCTGGTGTTCTCAGTGGTTAGAGCATCAGCCTGGGCACTGAAAGGTCATGGTTTGATTCCCGGTCAAGGGCATATACCTGGGTTGCAGGTTTATCCCTGGCCCCTGTTGTTGGGGCAGGTGTGGGAGGCAAGCAACCGATGTGTCTTTCTCACATTGATGTTCTCTCCCCTTTTCCTCCCTCCTTCCACTCTCTCTAAAAATAAATGGAAAAATATCCTTGGGTGAGGATTAACAATAAATAAGTAATAAATTAATAAATTAAAGTTATGTATTTTTGACCTTTGAAAAAACATCTGGTTTCCCTGGCAGATTCTGATCTTCATCCTATTGGGAATGACAGGTTACTAGAATATGTTCTTCTTAGGTCACAAACTCAGCTGTCCCAAGGGTCCAAGCCAGATGCATGAGGTGGTCCAGTGGGGCCTTTGGGAAGTCTGGGAAACTCACAGTCCCTAAAGAAGAAAGTTCCTACCACTCCTGCTCAATACCCTCAAACAGCAACATCCAGTGTTAATGATGTGAAGGAATGACTAGAATTTTCTTTATGGTAATAAAAGAATTGTGACTAAATTTTAAAACAGAATCCTGATCTGGAGACGCTTCCTGAATTGTTGGTAAAGCTTCAGAAGAATTTAGGAAAGGAGAGAGGGCACCTGGGAGGATTAAAGGGATTGGCCCTGAGTTGGTAATGATGACAGCTGGTGAAGAGTCCACAAGGACCTGTAATGCTGTTCCTTATTTTTTTGTACAAGTTCAAAAAATACCAGAATGAAAGTTGAAAAAACGAAACAAACTCCTATGATGTCCATCTCACTCAGACTGGAAGTCCTCACTGTGGTCCACAAGGCCCCATAACCTCTCTCTTACCTCAACTCCTCCCACTCTCCCCCTCCAGCACTCACACTTCAGCCACACTAGCCTTGCCATGTGCCAAGCCTACCTGTGGGCCTTTGCACTTACTGTCTCCTTTACCTGGAATGCTTTTCCTCTAGGTCTGCACGGTCCAGGATGGTAGCTGAGAGATACTTGTGATTGAGGAATTTTTAATTTTTTAAAAATAAATTTTAAGTAATTTAAAATTTAAAAGAGAAGCCATGTAAAATATTCCATTAAATACAACCTCTTTGGGTAGGACTACATTTTATTTAAACTGTTGGAAATTAAGTGTCTGAATTGAGATGTGCTATATAAAGAGTGAAATACACACCAGATTTCAGACAGTAAAAAAAATGGATTATAAATCCTCATGTATTTTTCTATTCATTACACATTGAATTGATGTTTTGTATATATTGGGTTAAAGTATAAATTATTAAAGTTAATTTTCACCTGTTTCTATTATTTAACAGTGACTACTAGAAAATTTTAAATTATTTTTATGCCTCACTTTATATTTCTACTAGAGGCCCAGTGCATGAAATTCGTGCACTTAGGGGAGGGGAGGGCGCAGTCCAGGAACCCTCGGGGGATATCCAACTGACGACTTAGGCCGGCTCCCATGGAGCAGTCTTAGCCAGCAGTCAGACATCCTTAGCGCTGCTGCGCAGGTGGGAGAGGCTCCCACCACCGCCTCTGCGCTCACCAGCCGTGAGCACAGCTCAGTGTGGGAGCGCACTGATCACCAGTGGGCAGCTCCTGCATTGAGCATCTGCCCCCTGGTGGTCAGTGCACATCATAGTGACCAGTCATTCTGCCGTTTGGTCAATTTGCGTATTAGCCTTTTATTATATACTAGGGGCCCAGTGCACCAATTTGTGCATCTTGAAAGGAACTGTGGGCCACGAGACTGTGGTGGGCACAGGGGCGGGTCTCAGCCCATCCTCTGCACCCCACCCGGCCCCTCCCACCTGGCCCAGCCCTGGTCCCCTGTCTGCCAGCAGCCCCCCGCTCTGGCTGCTGCAGCTCCCACACGCTGACAGTGCAGAGCAATTGGGACCAGCGCCATTAGCAAGTGAGAGCAGCAGCTGCTGGCCCCGATCACTGCTCAGGAGCAGGGGGAGGTGGAGAAGTCCTCAGGAGCAATTGGGGCTGGCAGCCGCTGCTCGCACCCGCTGCTCACACCGGCTGACGGTGAGCAGCAGCTGCTGGCCCCGATCACCGCTCAGGAGCAGGGGGAGGTGGAGAAGTCCTCAGGAGCAATTGGGGCCAGCAGCGGGTGTGAGCAGGACCAGCACCGGCAGCAGATGGGAGCACCGGATGGGACCATGGTGCATGGGAGAAAAGAATTTTCAGTAACCACCAGAGGCTCACCCCGATGACAGTGACCAGTGCCCCACCTTGGTCTGGTGCTCCTGCTCACCTGCTCCACCATCCTGCCACAGCCGACACCCGCCATGTTCTGCGCTCTGCCACCTGCTGCCCACGCCCACCATGTTCCATCCACCCCCTGGTGGTCAGTGTACATTATAGTGATCGGTTCAGTTCTGCATTCAGTCTATTTGCATATTTGCCTTTTATTATATAGGACAGTGATGGCGAACCTATGACACGCATGTCAGAGGTGACACGCGAACTCATTTTTTTGGTTGATTTTTCTTTGTTAAATGGCATTTAAATATATAAAATAAATATCAAAAATATAAGTCTTTGTTTTACTATGGTTGCAAATATAAAAAAATTTCTATATGTGACACAGCACCAGAGTTAAGTTAGGGTTTTTCAAAATGCTGACACTCCAAGCTCAAAAGGTTCACTATCACTGATATAGGAGGATTGGACAGCACTACTCTAGGAGTCCATGTGGCTTGTTTCCTCACTGTAGTTTGCTATAATGACGTAATTATCTCCCTGCCACCTCCCTCAACCACCCAAAATTTTAACTCCTTTCCCTTTGCCCACTTTAGTTTTTCTTCTTAGCACTTATCACCATCTGACATATTACATATCTCACCTATTGCTTTTATTTACCATTAATCTCCCCTGTAGAAATCAGCCCCACCAAGGTCAAGAATTTTAGCCTTTGAATTCACTGTCATTGCCCTATTCTTTGAACAGGACCTGGCTTACCAGAGACAGTCAATATTAAATGAACGAATGGATGAATGACACATTTGCTCCATTACCCGATCAGTAGGGTCAATATTGCCAAAACTCTGCCTACCCTATTTATGGTGACTCCAGGTAGACTGCCTCCTCCTTGGTTGGGTACAGAGACTTGGCCTGGCATTTGAAACAGGACAGACCCAGACTTGCATCCTGACTTACCCCTGAACCTGGAGTCTCCCAGAATCTGCTGCTTCCCTATCCTCCTCCTTCAGTGTCCATCCCCCCTTCAGGTAAGCGCTTCCTCATTTTCTTTGAAGACCCACTTCTTCCTCTATTTCAGTACACATTTCAGGCAGGGCTGACTGCAGCCCACAGGAAAGCAGGTGACTAGCCAAAGGAGCCAGCCTTGGGACTTTGGAACTGTAAGGGAAGAATGACTCTCCTATTGGCTACCAAATTGGTGGGATGAACGCTTGGAGGTTTTAAGGGATACTCTGGCCACCACGAGATAATAATGAAGTCAAATCAGAGGAAGGAATTGAGAAATGGAGCTATCATTTGAGCCCCCGGACCCAGCTGTTTTTTCAGTCCCTAACTTCAGTTACCCACAAAAATAAATTCCCATTTCTGTTTAAATCAGTGGTGACTAGGCTTCAGTCACTTGCTCCCTGTGTGTCCTCAGTGACTTCCCCACTAGAGCTTGTTTCCAGTTCTGTTAACTGGGGACATATCATTTGGTGGCTGTGAGGATTAAAGAAGAGATCTAAATGCACATCCAGGAGCCTAGCGTAAGGCTCTGTTCTTGAGTCTGTTCCACCTCTTGTCCCAACTCTTTAAGCTCTGGGAAGTGGATGATCTTAGACACCTGGCGCTGGGTACTGGACTCCAGGACTGAGCCCTGGAAACTCCACTTGGTTGTCATCATGACTCATGGAAGAAGTTTCACACCCTGCACCAGTGATGGCCCAGCCTGGGAGCCCACAATGTAGAATGTTTGAACCGAACACATGTATAGATGCAGGTCAGAGGCTATAGCAGGTGCAGCCTGCTTATACCACCTGCACCTTTTCTGTACATACCTCTAGCTTCCTGTGGAAAGCACCTGTGCATCTCTGCCTGAGGGTTCTTTAAAGACAGGAGAAGCTGGACGTTCTGGGGAGTTGACAACTTCAGGAACCAATGAGAGATGGGAGCTGTTTACATAAATGCCAATTTCTTTGACTTTTGGGTAGAATAACTTTGAATGTGTTCTACACAGTTTCCTACAGGTCACTAGTGAGATGGCACCCAGTTCCCAAAGCAGCAACCAGCTCAGCGCTCCCTTCCCTGGCTCACTTCCTCAAACCCCTACCAAACTGCCTAGGATCACCTCCTAAAAAAACTACCTGTGCTTGCATCTTTGTCTCAGGGTCTAATGGGCTGATTCAGTTCTGCATTCTGTGCTCAAGGCAAAGAAATCTGTGGAGAGGGCTGTCCAGATATATCAGGGCTGTATCCTAGATTCTGAGTACTCAAGCACCCAATATCTACACATTCTGCAATAGACTGATGTTTGTATCCCTTTAAAATATGTACGTTCAAATCCTAACCCACTATGTGATGGTTAGGGGGTGAGGCCTTTTGGAGGAGATTAGGTCTGAGGATACAGCCCTCATGGAAATGATTATTGCCCTTAATCTCTTGAAACCCAAGAGCTCCCTGCTCCTTCTGCCATGTGGGAACACAGCAAGAAGACAGCCATCTATGAACCAGGAAGTAGGTCCTCACCAGATACTGAATCTGTCAATGCCTTGATCTTGGACTTTTCAGCCTACAGAACTGTGAGAAATAAATTTCTATTGTTTATAAGCCATGCAGTCTGTTATTTTGTTACAGCAGCCCAAATGGACTAAAACACATCCTTTGACAAGTGACCATTTATTACATATGTCTGGACTGTGTACTCAGATTGGGGGGGGACCATTGACATAGTTGAGCACCAAGTAAGGTGTCCTGGCCAGTCGGGCAGGAGAACAGCAGGGGCTCCCTGACTGGGGCAGGAGCAATGTGAAACCCACCAAGAGAAGGAAGAGAAGAAGGAAGAAGGTCAAGGGCCACTTGGATACAGGAGTGGGGGCTCTGTAAAGGAAAATGCAGTGTTAAATATACAGTGGGCTGCCATATGAGCCCTGTCTCCCTATACCCCCAGACCCATCTCCCAGGCATCTCACCCAGAATCTACCTCCAGCATCACATCCTGGAGATTGGAAGATGCTTGACTCTTCTTGTCCTAAGGGTAGATAGTAACCAGAAGCAGAATACATGGAAGGGACACTTAGTGTGGACTTTCCCTTATTATCATAGACCTACAGGGCTGAGCTTATTTCTCCTCCTTTCCTGGTACCCACTTCCTCCCCAGGGCCCCTCATGGGCTTGGAATATCTCTAAGTATAGTGGATGTCTTTCTGTGGCTGTCCTCCAACCAATTCCCCTTTTCCTGGTAACAGGGGCTCAACAGTACACCTTCACTTCCATGATTAGACATATGACCCAGATATGGCCTATCAGAGCCTTCCATCAGGTTGGCCACTGTGATTGGTTCAGGACCCATGGGGAGCGGAATCAGCCCTGGGACTTGGCTGCTAGTAGGTCAGCGGCATTCTCCTCTTGGGTGGGTAACCAGTAGAAAGTATGTAGCTACTGGGGCAGCCATTTTGCTGAGAAGGAATCCACCTTGGGGAAGTAGAATCTCAAGAGCAAGGGTCTGAGCCCTGATAGCATTAGAGGTCCTGAATTCAACAGTACCTGGACTTTTCAGTAATATGAAAAAATTGCATCCCCTCTTTTGTGTAATTCAATTTGGGTCACTTGCCCAAATTGATATACCTAACTGAGGACCAGCTGACCTGAGACTTCTGGAGCAGGGAGCGTCTTTGGTGACCTACTAAGTGTTTCCGGTGGCTGAGACCCAACATGAATATGTCCTGTGGAGAGAGAGAGTTGTGGGGTCCTGGGACAACCAGTGACAAAGGGACACAAGATTGGGGAAGGGCCAAGATAGAGGGTGTCACAGAGATGTGATGCTGGGGGAAGAGAAGGATCTTGGGAAGACACAAAGAGCAGGGCAGAGCCAAAGAACCTGAGAGGAGAAACATTATTCATTCATTCACTCAACTAATATTTAATGAGTGTCTATTACATGCCAGGCAGTGTTCAAGGAGCTGGGGACACAGTGGCAATGGAAACAGGCAAAGTCTGTATAATGTCAAGATGTGGTAAGTGCCATTAGAAAATAAAGTAAGAGGATAAGGATAATATTTGGAGGCCAGAGCAGGCCTCTCTGAAGAAGTGACACTTGAGGGGAGACTGGAATGAAGGTAGGAGGCAAGCTGGGCATGCATCTTGGGGCTTTGAGATGGGAGTGAATTTGGAATGTTTAAAGAAGAACCAATAAGCTAGTGTGGCTGTAGCAGATTGAGCAAGGGGGAGAGTGAGAGGAAACGAGGAAATGTACATATAGATGGATGAGAAAGAAAAACTGAAAGAATAAGACAGAGGAACCAAGAGACAGAGGGAGGGAGGGAGAAAAGCACTGACACGCCAAGAGAGAAAGATACAGAGAGAGGCAGAGGGAGAGACAGAACCGCCAAGATCGCCTTGGAAGGGAAGGACCCTGCTAGGAGGTGCACAGAGGTGTCCTGTGGGTGCCCGGGTGGGGATGTCCCCCACCTGCTCTCACCTCAAGGCCTTGTCCCCTGCTCTGAGGGCCCCTGTGGCCACACAGCTCACAGGGAGCCCCTGGTGTCCAGGCTGTCTTTTGTCCCAAGGGCCCGAAGCCCCCAATGTCCCCTGCTGGGTCCCACTCTAACTCTGCAGGAGTGGGGAGGCTACTGGGTTCCCAGGGCCCCCAGATCCCACCAGGTCCTGGACAGTCTGATTCCGCCTCAATCTCCAAATCCTGGTCCAGTGTGTTGGCCTCCTTGAATACCTGGTCAGAGGACAGAGGTCATGGGGATTGTGAAGTTGGCACCAGGACTGGGGATCACCAGGTTGGGCCATACCAGGCTGTAGCTGACCAGCTGGGCCTGCAGCCGCCACAACCGCCAGAAGATGCTGTCTAGGTGGGCTCCAAGGGCCCTCAGGACCTGCTGCAGGGATGCCCAGGCCTGAGGCTCACTCCGCTGTGCCAGCCCCTCACTGAACGCCAGCAGTGCATCTACTCGCTCAGCTGTCCCTCGTAGGTCTGCCTGTAGGGTCTGGGAACACATGGTTGGGCACCACCACCATCCCCATATACACCAGGGGAACCAGAAACCTGGGACCTGGAATTACATGGCCCCCTTTCCTACCCAGATACCGAGAACATGGAGTAAACCCATCTTTCACCCAAGGGAGCTGGTACCCCTCCTGAGGCCCTGCCCACCTCCCCATACCTTGGCCTCCCATTGCCCACCTGCAGCTGGACCATCCCATTCTGGGCCAATGTCCAGGGCCCCAGGCCTCGCTCTAGGTCCTGCAGCCGAAGACCCAGGCCCAATAGGCAAAGGTGCAGGCGGTCCTGCTCAGCCTCCAATACCTCCCAGCCAGAGATAGGGCTCTGGGAAACACAAAGGGCTGAGTCAGTGCCAATGGGCCAACCAAAACCTTGTCCCCACTCTCATTGCCACCCCTCTTTTGCAGACTCCTCCTTTCTGGATGCTTCTCTGAAGCAGAGTCCATCTCTGGCTCTGCACCAGGGCTGCTCCCACCTTGAGTCCTTTCCAGTGGAAGGCCTGGGGACTTCTAGTTCAAAGTCTCAAGGTTTTCAAAGCTCCTAGAAACTTGGGACATGCAGGACCTGGAGGTCTGAGGATCACTCTGCTATGCCAGCCCCTCACTGAACACCAGCAGTGCATCTACTGGGAGGGGGTGATGGAGCTGGATACCCCTACAAGGAATGAGGCTGCACCAGGGCCAATCATGAAATAATTCTCTCTCAGTTTGAAATACTTCTATAATGATTGACAAAGAATCATTTATAGAGTGTCCCTCCCTCCACAGGTGCCCAACACTTTTCCAGAATCATCAATTCATCCCCATGTGGAGGGTAGATTCTAGGGGAAAGAGAGGAGGTGGGGCACAAGGGCCTGGGTTACCTCAGCTCACCTCACGGTGTTTGCCCCCAGTGGAGTCCTCATGGGAAGAAGGCGTTGGCAATCTGGGGTGACCAGATGTAGGCTCAGTGTTCTTCAGCCCACCCTGTAAGTGCTCAGAAGGATCCAAAGAGCCCTGCCCCAGTGTCTGGGCTTGCTCTGGCCTGGGAGGTAGGAGGCATTGGCAGACCCTTGGGTGAACCTAGGTGCCCATTATCCACTCTAGCCTACCCATCCCAGCTTCCTTTCCCACATCCCCAGGTGATCAGAGCCACAGTACCTCTTACCCTCAAAGTGCCCCTGCTACTGCCGTCACCCCTTTAGGACCCAAGTTTCAAAAGCCCCAGCTCCTACCTGATTCTTTCCTCTTCAGAAGGGCAGACGGTGGATTCAGCAATGTCCAGTTCCCTAGGGGCTCCAGGGGGATGATTCAGGGGCTCTGAGTGGGGTCCAGGGTCCAGGGCCATAGTTGGGGGCCTAGGGATAGAGCCAGTGAGAATACTTTGGTCCCAGCCCCAGCCCCTTGGAGATCCCAGCTGCAGCCTAGTTCCTCTCTCTGGAGGGACTGCCGACTCCACCTTTACCCCATTCCCCGTAGCCCTGGCTCTGGGACCTGCTGATTTTCACTCCAAAGTGAGGAGCACACTTACCCCTCAGTCTTTGTCTCTAGGGACACACTAACTCTCGTTCTGACTCCCAAAGTCAGCTAACTTTAAGGTATCCAGCCTTTTCCTAGACAGTGGTGTCCCCTCAGACATCCACAGGACTCACCCAGGCCCCAGGCAGATGGAGGCCCAGGAACAGGCTCAGCTTTACCTCCTTTCAAGTGAAACCTGGACCCAGGTAACTTGATGCCAGCTCAGGTGACAGTGGCACAACTTTTAACTCCCTAGCAAACAAATAACTGAACTTTCTAAGCTCACCCCAACCCACCCAATGGGGTATAATCCTGCCCCCTCAAGAGTCCTGGATTCTGCCTGGCTCATCTGAGCCATTCTTCTGACCCCCAGGACCCACACCATTTAGGGTCCCAGACTCAGCACCTCTCAAGAACACAAGCATCTGTCCCTCCACCCCCAATCCAAAACCAAAGAAAGATTTTTGTTGGTTTATTTGAAATGAAGCCTTTCTGTGGTTCCCACAAAGTTATTGGGAAAATAACTCAGGGGACCCGCCTCTTCCCCAGGGTTTCAAGGTTGCAGGGTTGCAGCTGTCCGAAACTTGATAGTCCGGGAGCCCAGCAGGTCCTGGGGCCAGGCGTCACTTGCTAAGGAGCAGTCCAGCCCGCAGCACACGGGGCACCCGGCGGATGGTCAGCGAGACACGGGTGCCACGGACCAGGTGGGCTCCAGGCCTTGCCGATGGGCCTTGCGGGCAGCGTTGAGCGGTAGAGAGGCCGTGACGAGTGGATCTACACAAGCCGCTCGTTCCATGGAGGAGGTGCGTGTAGGCAGTCCACGAAGTACCAGGAGGCTGCGGGGTTCCAGCAACAGCGAAGGTGGCCGGCCGGGTGGGGCCGGGGCTGCGGGGAGTATAAATGGTCAGTGGGTCCCCAAAAGTAGAAGGGTAGAAGAAGTTAGCAGACTTTGAGAGTCAGGGAGCGAGGGTCAGCGTGTTCCCAGAGACAGAGACTGAGGGGCAAGTGTGCCCCTCATTTTGGAGTGAAAATCAGCAGGCCCCAGAGCCAGGGCTACAGGGAACGGGGTGAGGGTAGGGTCAGCAGTCCCTCCAGAGAGGGAGGAACTAGGCTGCAGCTGGGATCTCCAAGGGGCTAGGACCAAGGTATCAGTGGTCACAGGGAACTGGGTTGAGGGCTTGACAGAAGTCAGGAGTTGGGGTGGGCCGGGATGGGGAAGCAGAATGAGGCAGAGATGATCTGGTGTAGTCTGGGAGTATCTGCAGACATCAGGATTTTTGAGGAAACTGGCACAATAGGCAGGATATCCGGGGTAATCAGGAGCATGCAGCACTACAGAGCGACCTAAGAAGCAGCTGGGGTCAGGATGTCCAGGGGGATTTCTGTGAACACTGTAGTGTCAGAAATGCATCACTCAGAGAAAGAGGTCAGGGACGCTGCTGTCATGAGCAGCCCTAGAGGACAGTCAGGCCATCTAGGGAGTCTTTGAGCAGCAAGCCAGGTGCCAAGGTGTGGGAGTTCAGTGTTGGGGTGCTCTGTACAGTAGGCAGAGAGAGTTAGGATATCTGGAAGGATGTCAAGGACACTCACAAATGAATGGTGTTGGAGTATCTGAGGATATCAGTGTCTGCTGGAGTACTGGGGAACCCTCATGGGGTATGTGGACCTTGGGCTACTGGAGCACTCTGAACGTGTGGGCCAAGGGATCTTCAGGGTGTCAGGACATTCCAATCAGCAGGTAGGGGTATTGGGAGTATCTGTGGATATCAAGCTTTCTAGGGCACCCTGCAAGCAGATGGGTTAGGTGTCTGGGAAGACATGGTTGCATTCTATGAGGGACAGGGAAGGTATCTGGGAGGTTATCAAGGGTATCTTGCAGGCAGGTGGGATTGGGGCTTCTTAGAGGATGTGGGATGTGAGAGTGCCCACAAGTGACTGGGGCAGTGTCCCAGGGCCCACCTGCTCTGTAGGGTCCTCATCCTTTGGCTGCCGCGGCTCGTAGAGATCCAGCATGGTGTGGGAGCCCAGGCTGATGGTGCTGACGGTCGGGTAGTACAGTGGCCCGTCCTTGTGGGGCTGGGGAGTGGGCACCAGGGCTGGACAGGGCAGGAGTCCACCCCCCCACCCCACCCTCTAGGGTTCAAGGGGGCCTCCCAGGTGGGGACAGGGAGATGAATGCCTGGTGGGGTGTGTGGCAATGGCCTGCCCCATGATGGATCAGAGGTCTGGGAGTTGGGGTGAGGATGTGTAGTTACCATGATGCCCTCCCCAGGCAGATACTGGTTCACAAGGACGTGGTTGGCTGGGAGACCCCCAAAAAGATTGAGGTCAGACACTTTGTCCACGTAGCGCTGAAGCCACAGAGGAAGCCGCTCAGGAACCATCCCTCGGGGATGTGGGAGCCCACCTGGAGGAGGGCAATGGGGTCCTGAGAGCACCTAACCAAGGAGCCCTCGCACCTCAAGCCCTCACTAATGATATCACCAGGTTTGGTAGCACGCTGACCTTCTCAGGGATGCCCGATTCTTTGGAGATCACCACCCAACCCTTCAAAGGTTTCCTGATGCCTCAAAGGTTTCCTGGAACATTTGAAAGCACCAACTTATAAGAAAATTCCTAATCCCATAGAACCTCTACTGACACTTCTGAATCCTCCTGGCCCTTGGGACCCCTTGAACCCTCAAGGGCCCCTAATATCTTAAGACTAACCAACCTGAAGCACCTGCTCTAACCCACATCCTTAAATCACCCATGCCCCCAGGCAGGAACACTTACCCCAATTCTGTAACTTCCTCCCAGAGAGCTGGGTCCACTTTGGCTTTGGGGCATTGAAGACCTAGGAGGTGGGGAGGGGGTCACTCATTTTTCAGGACCGCTCTGATTCTCCCACCCAGGCCAACATAGAGGTCTTTACCTGGGGTGGAAAAGGGTTATCTCAGTATCTGTGGGAATGGTTTCCTGAGATAGAGTGTTCCCAAGATTTTGCTCTTTGCTCTTTCCCCTGTGGCAGCTGCTGCTAGCCCCAAAGCCCACCTATGTCTACTGGGATCGAGGAAAGGAACCAGGGCTACACAACTTCGGTCTGAATCTACTTAGAACTCTGGCCTGCATTGGGCTCTTTTAGCCCAGTAAATAGTCTGCACCCTGTAATTTCCTGGGCTATCTCAGAATAGTCTAACTTTTGGGACCTTCTTGTTTCTATTACCTTGGGGGCGGGGGGGGGGGGAGGATGTACTACACTAGGCTATCTCAGCATAGCAAAGAGAGTACTTTGAAAAGTCTCCACTGCCAAGATCCCAAAGTTCTAGAATGAGCCATCTTCAAGAAGTCTATACTCAGTAATCTCCTTGTTCCCTTTATGGTTATGGGGCTGGAATGAGCTATCTCATCACAAGTCTGTGTTCTGTGGCTAACTTTTTCCTGGGACTCAACCTAGACAAGACTAGTTGGAACAGCACAGGGAAGAACTGTGCTCTATTATTTTTTTGTGTGTGGGTGTGTGTGCTCTATTATTAAGGCTCTGGCGCTACAAAGATTGTCCCAGTGCAAGAACTGACCTTCGTAAAGTTTTCTTTCCCCAAAACCTTAAATAGAATACAGACTGGATTACCTCAGCACAGGTGGTCTGTGTTTAGAAATCTTGTTTCCAAGACTCTGGGTCTATGCTGAGCTATTTAAGCAGAGGAAAGAGTATACGCTGTAACATTCTGAGGCCTGGGCTTCCTCAGCACTAAAAATTCTTCATTCCCCAAACATCAAAGGCCTGAACTGGGCTATCTCAGTCTATATTTATAATCTCCTTTTCTCTAAAATAGCAGGAGTGGGCCATCTCAGCACAGAGAATATGGGCTCTGTAACTTCCTCGTTTCTGAGGCTCTGGGCTTGTACCGGCCTATTCTAGCACAAGGAATCCGATCTCAATAACATCTTTGTTTTGGAAGTTGGACTGGCCTATCTCAGCACAGGAAATCTGAGCTCCATAATAATCACTTCATTTCTAAGAATCAGTTTGGTTTCCCCTAAGCTTCCTGGGAAAAGCTCTTTCTGACAGGCCCAGTGGGTCCTGAGAGTGAGGGGTGGGTGGCACTCTTCTTCCTGCCAGAATCTCCATTATAGCCTCAGGGGCTCTCAAGCAGGAACTAGGATTTGGGGAAGGATCTGGAAAGATGGAAAAACAGACCAGAAGGGCTCTGAGGTCACCTGTCGAAGCAAATACTCCTCCTCTTCCTTGGAGATGAAGTCAGGGACATAGTAGATTACAGGTGGTGCCTAGGATGGAGAGATCCCCCTGAAACTGGTGCCCTTTGACCTACACGGGGACCCTAGCAATGATGAGCAGCCCCCTCCCTCTGTAGTGAGGCTCAGGATGTCCCCAGACAGGCCAGGGTCTGAAGTTGAGGGACCAAGGCCCATTTTGGGGATAGAAAGTGGGAGTGAGATAGGGGAAGAATGAACCTGGAGGGAGCAGTCCCAGCTCACAAACCAGGCGTCAGACTGCCTATCACCACTTTATCTTCCACCCTTAGTCCTCCCACCGTCACCCTCTGCACCCCCCGTCCTGACAACCTGCTCCACCCGGAATGGTTCCAGGGCTGGGACCCTGGAGTCCTGATCCTCCGACACCAACTCCATGCACCCGATCCTGTGAGGAGGAGAGAATATGCTAAGGTCACCAAGCCTCCCACCCTCAGGTTATGGCCCCACTTTCTGCTCTATCATGGGTTAGGGCCTCAGCTCAGCCCTCTAACCAAACTCACTGGATTTCTAAAACCTGAGTCCTCAGCCTCTCAAAGCCACCCAGTGAGCTCCCGGGCTCTTTGCCTGGACACAGTAAGCACCCAGAACATCCAAACTCCATCTACCAGGAGCCTATCAAACTACAGAGAACATCCTCTCACAGAGAACATCCTCTGACCCCACTGGGAGCCTTTCTCAAGAGCTTCACAGCCTCTAGGGCTGCACCCCAGAACCCCTTTAAACATCTTACCTTGAGACCCCTTCCTAACAACCAGATTTGCAACCCTGAGCCTCGCTCTCCAACAACATTCAGGATGGAGCCCCTATGGACTCCTCCTGCCTCAAGCCCTTTTAGATGCCACATTCTGAACACCCTGTGCCCCCAAACTGAATCTCCTCTGACGCATCCATTCTGTCTCCTTGGATCCCCCCACTCTGGACTCCCTCAGATTTCCCTTCCCGCGCACCCCTTCACTGCAGCGCTCTTGGATCTAATGACTCCTCTCAAACCTTCTTTCTTCCCTGAATCCCCGA